TTTTCGGAGACCTTAAAATAATGCCAGACCGGTGAAGTCATTTTGGCGAGCTTGTTTTGCCGCGCACAGAGAAAAGTGTCATGTATTTTGCGTCATGCGATCGGCTCTCGCGATCGGCATGTTTAGAGAGCACCGATCGATCGGTGGAGAGTGAGTATCGGCCGATCTCGATCGGAGCATCCCTACTATATACAAGTACAATATTTTTCTTGTCTGTGCTCTTGCCTCGTGTTTACCCGATAGTAAAAAACCATAGGCCTACCGGGTGCACTCTCCAACACCACCTGTTTCCCAAATGTACCAGGTCTCCCATCCCCCAGTGCCCAAAAAACGGCTTTCTCAAAACAAAAGCATAAGCAACAACTTGTTTGATCAACTTGGATAATACTAGAATTTTTTTTTTTAAAGGGAGATTTACTATAAACAAAAAACAATAATAAAATAAATGGATAACTATTAAATAATATAAGTCCGTATATTGCTCCATCAATGAGTATTTTATGTTGTAAACTAAATATAAAAATATTGTAAGCATGTACGCACCATAGACCATAATTAGGGCATTTGATCAAAAACCCAATAAAAAAACCTTAACTTTGAGATAAGGGAGCCCTGAAGCGCTAAAATGCTAACTCATTTTCAGGTAAAGAACTAATTCCTGCACACATCTCACCTTCAGACTGTGTGGGTGCATTGACTCCAAGAGGGTCCATTGTCTCTAGGCTGGTTTCCATAGCAACAGGAGAGTTGCACCTCAGAGGGTCTTTGGGGCTGCAAGAGAGGATTTTTTATTTACGAGTCACTCTTTGAGGTGCAAAGACGATCACAGACAAAGCGATGCGCCGTTCTCCTGAAGCGCTGCAGATCTGTGTGAACTTCCTACCTGACGGGGGTGAAGTTGGAGAAATCGGCCCAGCCTGTTTCAGCGTTGGAGGTGGCAGGAGGGGGGGAGCTCCATGAGGTCTCAGGGAGGTCTTCTGTGGAAGAGGAGGGGGAGGCCAAAGGAGAGGAGGCAGCAGGGTTGTTAGGGCTGGTGGCTGGAGCAGTGGATGTACCTGTGTCCATGGGGATGTCATCAAAGTTGGCCGTCCACACTGGCCCTATAAAATGTAATTTATAATATAATAATATAAATATAAGTCTGAAAATGTAAGTATTAACCCCAGCACTAGTTCTTCTTTCATTGATATGCAGCATATAGCCTTTCCATAACCCGCATCATCAGCACTGTGTGCAAAACCCTTAACTGAAATCTACATCCAGGTAAAATTTTGAGTTCTTTATAGTTATTGATATGCCATTGGGGTTGTTGTGTAGTAGTGTTGTGTTTACCAACCTGTGTCGACTTCCATTCTGTCGTCGGTGCTGGGGTTGGCAGCTTCGAACGGATCTCTCTTCACATCCTCCTCCTCTGAGTCTGTACTTTCCTCGCTGTCCGTGCTGCCCGAGCTCCTGAGGCAGACAGACGGAGCAGGAGTTATTTTTAATGGACAATCAACTTCATCTTCACGAGGGACTGTGGTTTGTACATGTGGAGCTGTGAGCTCTGTGTGGTAACAGCTAATTGCTGATGATTTGGTTTTCTGATTCAACGTCAGGCTGAGATCCTCACCGCGAGAATGCGTCACGCGAAGTTGACGCTCGAGTTGAAACATTTTTTAATCTCGCAGTTACATTTTTTTCTTCAATCGAATTCGCACCTATCGGCATCTTTGCATTGACTTTACATGTAATCACGGCGCGCCCAAAAATCACATCGTGTCCAGTGTGAACGCACCATTAGGGTTAAACAAGGTACACACAGTGAACGGTTGTTGGCATCTTTCAATGATCATAAGGGCCGATTGATTATAAAAAAAACTGAATTAGCCAATGACTAATGAATAATGTTAATATTCCAGGTACATTTAAAATAAAATGAATTGTTATTTTAGTAGAAGAATGATCTGAATGTGTTAAAATGTATCAACGTTTATTCTGGACGACATTACAAAGAGTGTGTGTGCGTTGCTGACCTGGGGCGTCTCTGTGCCTCTGGTGCAAAGGTGACATCTTTTTCATCCCAGATATCCTCCTCGTCTGAACCAGCGTCTTCAAACTGCTGGATTTTCTCCTTACAGCGTGCCTCAAACAAAGCTATATTTGCCTGGGGAAAACACACAGGAGCGACATATTTAGAAAAAATATGTCATATCAAAAGTTCACAAACTAGGGCTGGACCCTGCAGAACAAAAGTCACTCAGCCGAGAAGCATTAATGTGGATACCTCAGGTATCAGGAAAATCTATGGAAATAACTTATGGCATATAAGCATATATGCTTAGGTCTTGCATCAATGGTAGAGCTTTTGATAAAATCAGCCTATGCTTCACTCTTGGTTCAAATACAGGCTATGGCAATTTTAGTTTTAAAACAAATCCTTATATTTTATTCGTTAAGAATTTCACTTTGCATCATGTCGCTTTGTGGCATCTGCTTCTAAATGAATGTGAACAGGGAGATAAAAAGACATGCCATATGATAATATAACACATTTTCATTTGTTCCAATATCATGTTATGATCTACTCAGTGATTGACTACGTATGAATTCAAGATTAATAATCAAAGTACTTACACTTTCATTTGTATTCAGTGAAAAATTGATGTCTGATATTCTATCAAACGGAATACTGCAATGTTAAAGAGAACAGAGTTTAGTTTAGTTAGGGTCGTTAGGCATCCACATATATGGCAACACACAGGCAGTAGCACACAGCTTTAGCCCTTCATGATCATAGTAACATATACACTGCGCTTTTCATAGCCACTTTCGTTCTTTATATGCATGTTTTTTGTAAACTGGTCAAAGAAAAGAAAATATTTATTAACAGGTCATGGTAGAAAAAACTTTATTATTATTTTTTTTTCAGTAAAGCCATTTTTGACATTGCTTAGAAGATGGCAATGTTTCCCAACTGGCAAGTCTGTATCCAAAAAGGCTATTATTTGAAGGGAAGTCCAACATATGAGTAAATTGTTTATCATCTTAATCTGATAAGAAACATAGCCGCTCAAAGCTTAGCTTAGCACAAAACCTGGAAACAGAGGGACACTTCTAACTTAGCTCTCAACGGTGAATGATACACCTTCCAACATCCTGTCATACTTACTAAAAGGTGGATATAGATTAGAACAAAGATTTTCATTATACATTATCTTGCTGACAATTTGTTCTCTTTGAAATAAATAATTAAGACTTTTTGGTGTTAATCCTGGAATATAACGTTAAACGTAAAAAATTGAGAACGTGAACAATTTTTTGGAAGTAACCTCAGGTGCTGCGTCGCAGCATTCAGTCATTTGCTCACATTGGGTTCAACGCGTAATAGAGCGAGCAAGTCATTTCATTGGACGAGAGGCATACTATGAGAGCAGGGATGCGTTCAAATGTAGTCAGTAATTTGAGGAACTGTCGAAATGGCGAACGCAGATAAAGTTGAGCTCGAATATCCTCCAGCATCATTGAAGTCTCCGGTTTGGGAACATTTTGGTTTCGCAGTTACGTACAAGGATGACGGACAAAGACAGGTGGACAAAACCAAAGCTGTTTGTCGCCATTGTTAAACTAAAATTGGTTACGCGGCTGGCAATACATCAAACGTGCACACTCATTTGAAAAGGCATCACCCGAACGTGAATATCACCGGTACCAAAAGAAAAAAGACTGAAGTGCAAACCCAACTCCCACTAGCATTTAAGCCTCCACCACTCGCAAAAAGTTCAGACCGAGCCAAAGCTATTACAAATGCCAAATATCCTTATGTTGACATGTTAGCAAAGCGCTACCTGGCTGTATCTGCTACCTCTGTACCTAGCGAGAGGGTGTTCTCCACAGCAGGAAACCTTGTTAGTGCCAGCAGATCTGCCCTTTCGGCAAGCAATGTGGACAAGTTCATTTTTCTTTAAAAAAAAAACAGGAAAATACAATGACAAGCAAGTCATAATGTCAAACTGGCTGCTTAGGTACTAGTACAGTTCAAATACAGATATTTCAGTTAATCGAAATGCTGCACCTAAACGTATATTTTATTATATTTTGTATTTATTTGAGTGAATATTCACAGCTTAATAATAATTAAAAACCCAAAACTAATAGTTTATGTTTTGTGAGTAGGCTACTAGTACAGTAACGTTCAAATACAG